AATATTAGTTTTTATCTACAGTTTTCTGACTTGAACCAGTTCAGTGTCAAGTTTTCAGCAGGTGGGCTATTTGCAGTCAAACTTCATATTCTCTCTTTCTTGCTCATACACATATGAAAGGACTCAAATTTATGAAGAGGAGCGGCAGTATCTGTGCAGGAGATGCAGTGATCCAGTGTGTCTCATTTTGCTGGGGGGACTCATGGAATGGATGGACAGGTAATTTGCACCAGCGAACACAGCGCCCGGAACAGAGCAGAGGTCAATGAGCTCCTCTAAGGCTCCATCTCACATCTGTCGTTTTGTATGGTCATCAGTCTACTGCCTGCTATAATGGCTTGATCAGGTGTGTGTGTATGTGCAGGTGTGTGTGTGCCTAATAAACATCCCTGATGCATGATGACTAGGTAGAGCAGTGGTCAGCCTAGGGGAAACTTAAGGTTACAAGGCCACAGTGAGTCTATAATCCTATGATTGGCTTATGTTCCCCCGACATACTTCACATTCAATCACATTTTGCCTGATGACGCTGCTATAATGGGGTTGCCATGACTCCCTGACAAAAAGGGAGAAAGATGAAGATGTCATGATCCAATTTGTCTGTCAAAGAAATTAATCATCAGGTAATACAGTGCAATAAATATCAACACAGTCCAAATTCATATGTCCCATCTTTTTCAGAGGGGTTCATCCAAAGTAAAAAACAAACAAACAAAAAAACTTATCATGCCCAGCTCCTGTCTCCTGGAAAGAAATGAGCCAAAGTATGACTCAGCGTGTCACCTCAATCTGCCTCGGTAGAAAAGTGGGCATCTCCTTTTGATTTTATTCAACTGCCGTCATGGAGTTTCATTGTTGCTGGTGAAGAAAAGTGTGTGCATGTATATTTTGGTTTTTGACAAAGTGGGTGTGAAAGTGTACGTGTGAAAGTTTCTGCATGTGGGTGAGACCAATGCATTGGCTTTAAGGTAAGTGCTCATCTTTCCTCTGATACAAATTGTAAAAAACAGAATGCATTTTTAAAAGTGGAGGTTGATAGGATAAGGTAGATGTACATGTAGGGTGGATGCAGTTCTATCTTGGTTCACAGCAAGTGTGTCTAACAGCAGCAACAGAGGCATAAGACATATGCTGCTAGACATAAGGATGATTTTAACACCTTATCCTTAGCTGACTGCAGAACTGGATCTGGCTGTATATGTCAGACCACAGCTGTCTGTGATGTGACATGGCAGGAAAAACTGAAACTATTCACATGTACATATCTACAAATACTAAGACATAAAGGGGATTCAGTGGCAATATGATGCTGAGTGAGTTCCAGCTGATATAAGATTTAAAATTACAATAAATACTGCATCACATCCATCAACACAGTTGTTTTTCATGTCTTCACTGTGTGCATCTTGTTATTTTTCTGGGTGAAAAGGCTCATTATCTCATGTCTCCATGATGAGCCAGAGCGTAAACATCTCTTGGTTGTGAGCTGGAGTCAATGTGCTTGAAAAGTCTTTGAAGCGTGTGAAACACAAGACAAAATCAGTGTATCTCTCAGTTTTCCTTCCTCTGGAGTTGCTGTCACATATCTGCCCCTCCTCTTTTCCTCCTTCCTAACAGATATCTCCTCAGCCCTCCTCAAGACCAGGGTTGAATCGGATATGAAGGCCCCTTGAGCGAATCACATCTTCTTTGGGTCTCGACTATGTCATGCCTTCCGTCACCTTGACGTCAAGAATACATCAGCTGCATGCTCTGGTCTGTATGAGACGGCAGCATCAGACTGGTCAAATCCACCCATGCTGCCACATCTCAGGTTAATACAAAGACAAGCAGCAAGGTCTTTTCTGACTTACTCAAACGGAAATCTTGGTTAAAATGAAAACCAAATGAAGCAGTATTTACTTGAGGTTGTCTACAAGTCAAGAAACATACAGCATCTCAATTTTTCCTGAGGAAAAATAGATTGAGATGCTTAATTTTAAGCCCCAAAGCCTAATTATGAAATAAATAATCATATGAATAAAACCATGAAAAACATTTTAATGTATAAATGTAATTGGTGAAATTAATAAAAAAATAATTCACACTCTGTTGTTATGAAATGTTATTTCATCATTCTTATTTTAAAAGACACTTTTATTTCAGTGTGTGTGTGTTTTTTTTTTTTATCACAGTGTTGTCTTAACTGCCTCCTCATCTTTCAGCCAATCACATGCTCCTTCTCTTACATGAGCTCAACAACTGCTACCAAATGTAGCCAGTAGTCTGTTAGCTGTTAACAGTGCTGGTTTCTGAAGAACCTAACCAACAGCTATAAATAAACGCAGACACACTAACCTCTCCTTCTAGTTATTGGCTATAATTGATCATTTCTTACTTTACACAATTTACACATATGATTATTAATTTCATTTTAACTAGACTGAGGTGCCTTCATTATAGTTCCTGGATCCTTCAAACATGAGCCTCCTCTCAGTTCAAAGTGCAAACAAATAAGTAGAGTAAAACTATGAGCATGTATTCCAGCTCTTTGGTGACTCAAGGTGGCTCAGGCTTTCACCTGATTCTGGCAGAGCAGGAGAGTTTGTTCTCCCACCAAAGCCAAACAGTCTGGATCTTTCTGTTCTGTGGCACTTTCTCAGTCTGCTACAGCTAATTGGCTCCTCTGAGAGCCACGTACAGCCACTCATACACATACAGTAGATGCAAGCATGGATGCAAACACGCCGAGGTCCTCCCAGCCATCTGTTGGGGGCTCACACTTACAGGAGCTCCTCTGCTCCTGCTTTCCCAGTTCTGTGCTCAGGAGATGTCTCAGGTCTCACTGGCCTGCTGTTGTGTGTGATCCGCTACATTGTGTCATGCCATGCTATGTTATTGTAATTGTGCAAACCTGCAGTTCACAACTTATCCCTGTTAAAACCATCACTTCTCTCATTGCTTCCAGCCTTCACTCTACTGTTGCTTCTATTTAGTTGGAAAGATGCCTCAGAACAATAGATCTCAGTCACACAGATGTGTCTGTGTACACTGCACATACTGTTATCCAGTCCTCCACTTTAAGATAATCATCCCACAAAAACAAAATAATATGTACCACAATTGTGCTGTAATACCATTAATCCAGAGTGTTTCTCTTGTGGCGATTGTGACTGTGAAATGCAGCACTGCTGACATCAAGCTGTGACGGCAGGGAACTACAGCCAAATTAGTTGCATTCCAGTACCACAAAGGTTCATTTCAGTCTCATGCATTTGTTCAGCCTCTCTATACACAACTGCCCATGTGGCATTACCCAGTTCTATTACACATTTGCAAGCTACAAACAATTTGACAATAAAAGCACAGGAAGATCGGTAACAAAATGCCAGCAACATGTCCTCCAACTTGCCAAATTGCACCTGCTAAATTATTTTGGTTTTAGTGCAGTACTTTCTTCTATATTAAATATCACTTCTTCAACTAACTAAATAAATAAAATATAAAGAAAATAAAAAATTCTTTAACTGAGGATCTATTGAGTATGAATTAATTACAGAAAGCTATAGTCACTAGATTATTTAATGGTGAGTACCATTAATTCATTTTTGCAATAATTCATGCATTATTACTGAAGTATAAGAGTAGCAGTCTTATTATAAAGTGGTACAGATGTATTAATCCTAATCCTGACTTCATTATATTGAGAGGAGCTTCACTTTAGGGAATACAATATTTAATTGCACCATATAATCTGTAATTGAGTATCATGGGCTGAATCATCATCAACTTCGAAGCTGTATATGGGCCTTCTGGGTCACATGTTCACCATTACCCAGTGAAGATGTCATGTTGAAACATCATTGTGGTACCCAGCTGGTATTCATGCACTGCAGTCAGTCAGCACAAAACACCAATTTATTCAGCAACAACAGCCCTGCTGGACCAAGATGCACAGCAGCCAGACGGGCATGTTTGTGTTCCTCTGCATAAAATAGATCTGTCTCTGGCTGACCAGGCTCAATACATTATGACATGCTTCTCTCTCTTTTTACTTTAGTTGTAGTTCCATATATATGCCCACAGCTGATCAAATTCTTCTAGAAAAAGTAGGCATAAGGTTGAGCTAGAAGCCGAGTACCCTGCAGCTACAAGCTGGCCTCTGACCTCTCTGATCAGCCAAGATCTCACATTCTGTGGCTTCCTTCCGGTCATCTCCACTAGGGGCGTGACAGCCCAGGATGCATTCATCAATGTGTGAATGCATCCGCAGGAGGATGACCTGCTTAGAGATACTTCAAAAATAGGACATAACCTTGGTGGCAGTTTTCTTAAGCTTTTGGTTTTACATTAAAACCATCTTAAGGAGCAGGCAGAAAGTCTCGGTTAATTTCTTTTTTTTTTAATGAGATATTTGTTTTTGATTTATTCCAGTGGAGGACAGATGAAGCTATATTTTAGGATCACAATTCAATTTATCCCATTAGTAAATCCACTCCACGCTATTAACTTTTTAATAAGTCAGGCCTTAGTTTAAATGACTGGGACAGCAGAGTTTTTGGATTTTGATAAGATTTCTGAGATTTCAAACTCCCACAGAACAAGGCCGGTCAAAATAAAACATCATAACTGAGAAGGAGACCTAGGAAATTCTTAATGTCAGTATTGGCAAATGAGCCATATGGAAAGATGAGTTGTGTGTGAAATGCATATACACAGGCACACATTCCCCAGTAGTGCCATGATTTAACCAGGATGGCAATATCATAAATAAATGTACAACTTTAATTAAGATCCATATATTAGGAGAGCTTCTTGGAACTCGTCATTTTAAGACAAAAAAAACTATTCTCTGTGGTGAGGAATATGAAAACAATGAACCAGACAGAGATACATCTGTTGTGTATTATGAAGGCGTTATATAATCTATATAACCTGGCAGCATTAAAAATCCTTAGCGAGTGAAACACAAATAATTTTTTGTATTTTTGAAAGTTAAGAGCAAACAAAGAGCCAAAAAATTTGAAGTGAAAGAAACAACTTTATTTAAGTGTAAACAAAAAGCAAACAAAAAACTGCATAGGAAATGTTTAAAGTCCACAGAGTACAGAGAGAGCAGAAAGTGGCCAATATATTATAGTCTCCTCTGCCTTATTTAGACTGAAGACCCAACATTTGCATTTCCACTCAGCCCGATGTGCGAGTGTGTTGAGAAGGAGGGAAGGTGTGTCGGCAAATGTATACACGAGGTTTGAGTGATAAACACACTCGCACATGGCGGCCTGGATGAGGAAGCGCCAGCAGCACCCATCTAAACTCAGCTGGCCATGCTCGCTCGCCCTGTATCTTGGACTGTGAGGAGGATACATTCAGTGGATTTCTGCTCAGACAAGAACACAAACACAATGCCCACTCCACACACAGACACTGATGAGGAAAATGTGACACCACAGAAACGAGCGTGTAGACACAGTGAGCTGTTATCTCATCAGGCCGAACACCTCCCATCTTGGCTGATGTTAAAGCTTGTATATAAATGAATACTGCGCTGCATGTTCCATTAAGCCACATACTACAGGCATTGTTGGTGTGCAACATTTAGCACCAATTGTTAGAGAAAAACTACCTGTCTTCTGTGGGCTCTGTTGTGTCTTGTAATTCTACCAGTGGCTGGTTGTAGCAAGTGGGCATCAACAAGATTCCATTTAACCCTTTTCTTCACAACATACATTCTAAAAGGGTCAATGAGCATCAAGTGGTGTGAAGTATTTGTACTTATTTGTAAAAGAAAAACAAAAACGGCAAAAACAAAATACAAAAAGAATAATCAGTGGAAAATAATCAAAGGCAACACTTTTCAGATTGAGAAATAATTTGTTTTCATAAAATGTCAGTGGGGACACACACTAGAGTCAGACTAGTACTGAAAGGTCATAACAAGGAAAATAAGTCACTACATTGCTACAGGAAAGGTTTCAATAAGACACCTGCAGGGCAGGGCTGCTGAGAACTACCTGAGTTAAAAATGTTTTCCTTTCTAAACTTTCAAACCCTTTTCTTTCTTTCAAGGATACAATCACTTAAAAGGAGGTCTACAACCTTGCACACATCACCTGGCGCAGCTTTGCTTTTTCCCCCTCTGAAAATTGTGAGGGGTTACAAATAAATGGTGGACACCCCCCTCTCCCCCCAAAAGTAGAAGTACAATCAACTGAGCACATGCTCGGCAGCCATCAGCGCACTTCCTGGATTCTTAAAGAGAAGAGGAGGGGAAGTGATTGCTAATTTGTGCTAGAGAAACCTGCTGCTTCTCACATGACAACCAGAGCACTCCAATTACTAGTCAAACACAAAATGGCCACCTTATGAAGCAATCATTATTCGATTATTTTTTTCAGTCTTCTAAAGCTACAGGGCTTGTTGAGATCTGTTATTATGTCTACCCATATTATGCGGTTAAAGAAAATTCAGCACTAATGGTCAGGGGGGCACACCAGCCTTCGGCATCGAGGCATGGCTGGCTGAACAGGTTGTGCTCTGCAGGGCCTCTAGAGAACAGGAAATACAATCGCAAAGGTCAAAAGGTTAATTCCATCCAATGTAATCCTAACACACATACAAATCTTTGGGTATATATTTTGGTAAAACCATCCCAATAGTCAGTTACCCATCCCATCTGAGTTTTCCAACACCCATCTGAGAGACGTCATTATAATACAAGGACTTTTTAAAGCATGCAACAAAATGAAAGACAAAGGCTTAAAATACATTTTTCCTCTTTAAGAGTGAAGACCTAAGGATCTTAAAGACAGAATTCTGCAATCTTAATTAAAACAAAACAGAGTAATACTGAAAAGCAAAAAAAAAAATAAATCCATTGGTGAAACAAGGTGTTGGGTTCAAAGCAGCAGGGTATGTGGACTCAAACTGGCTCACCATCAACATGCACTTACAAGTGGACTCTGCATGTTCAGAATCATCATGAGGTAAATATAAATGGGGCCCAGCCCTATTAAGTGCATCCAATCAGAGAGCGAGGATTTATCCTCGGGTTCTCCGATTTAACATTTGCATCTATGATATAATGGTCCAGTGACATTTGTTGTCTACAATAGCGTGGTCCAAACACCAACCCTGTTTGGCATAAAACTCTTACAGATCATTTTGGCACAATGCTTTCAAATGAAATATTTGGTTTCCTGGTGATACAAGGCATAGTTTACCGGGCAAATGACAGTAGATTCAACAAACAAAAATTTGGTCAGGGCTGCAAGATCAAGTGACCACCAACCTGAAACAGTACCATGATCTTTGGTCCTAGAGCTATGGGACATGTACTGCACTGTAACACAAGAAGAAAGAACGAGGTACATCTGTAATACATACATACATATCTGATGAGGTATGCTTACATAAAAGAGTAAAACCAAGGTATTTAGAAAGAGAAACAAGTTGAGGTATTTAAATGTACAGTAGCTATCAGAGACATACTTGAGGTATTTTGGAGTAGAAAAATGGAAATTCAAGAAAGTGGGTACAACAACCGGCGAGGTACAGGATATTTGAGATGTGAGGATGTAAATCCAGGTTATGTGCAGACAGGCCCTCTCCTCAGAGGTGAGAGCCAGTCGGTAAATCTTTTCACAGGTGTTTGCTAGGCTGAGGAAGCGGCCAACAGAACTGTAATTGTCTTTGTGCTTCCATTGGGACACAGACTGAACAAAAGAAAGGGAATTCAAAACCCCATGCTGATTTCACCACAAGGAGTTCATATCTCTTAGTCTCTAAGGAAATTCGTTTTGAATTCAAACACTAATCTGAGATGCCAATTTGAGCCTTTGGGCCATCTAATGCCGATAATACTGGGGCACTGTTTGGTGAGCTGAAGTGATAAATGTGAAGGGGAGCAAGGGGTTCTCTTTGGTGCAGGTATATCTCTGCAGACAGATTGAGAGGATGTCGTCTCAAATCCTTTCAGACCTGCTTGATCTTAGGGGGATCTGAAAGTATTTAAACTGTGACCAAATCACCCTTTTATTTTTCTAAGCTCAACACAAACAGTGCTATGAACTCAACTCAGAGTTCTGTGAACTTTACACTTCCCAGCAACAATGGTTTAAAAGGGGATTTTTAGTTTCCTTAATTGCCAAAGCTACAGCTGGCCACTGTGCAGAAATTCTAACTTTGGTTGAGTCCAGTAGATCGTCTGTAGACTGCCGTCCTTAGAGGAGTGGTCTACAAGCGCTCAATCTGAATATATCTCCTCAACTCCAAGTATCAATAAACAGGACAGGGCTTTGTGATGACGTCCACTCACTGAAACGGACTAAACCCCAGGCCCCGAAGGGAGTGGCTTTCAACCACAATCTAAATCCGAAGGATTGTAATATTAGGCCTTAAATTTTATGTCATTAACATCCTCTGAATGGCCAAATTAGGTGTCTATATCTGAGGCTTTTGTCACACAGCATGCCTCATCAAAAAGCTGTCATTCAATATTATGATAAAATCTCTATATAAAGATTGCTGATAGATCTCCAGATCCCCATAGATTAATATTCAAAATCCTTTTGTGCATCCTGACTTTTGGAGGAGACATTTCTCTTTATCTTAGTAATTCATACAAATGACTGGATAGTAGCAACACAAGCTGTTTTATTCTACCAAGAAAAAAAAAAAAATTAGTCTTATGAGACACAATTAGCGCGTGCTAAATATTTAGATAATTTTATTATGGGGTTTATTTGGGAGGTCATTTGAATGATTATTTTGGAGATGATTTCATAACTATTTTTTCTCATTAATAAATTAATCAAATTTGCCAGTAAAGCTAGAGGGAAAGCCTGAAAAGTACTGATCATTTTAATCAGTCCTACCCTGACCTGAGCTAATTTTGAAACTATCAAGTTTGGCATCACTTCACGTGCTCTTCTTAGGCTATCATAACACTACAAACTCCACACAGCCACAAAAGAGACTAGGGTCGATGCGCAAATAATAAAAAAAAAAAATCGTAAAACATGAAAGGACATTACTGTACCCTAGTCTCCTGTCTGAGCACAGTAATGACAATAGATCTTGCACCCTCTACAGAGAGTACTGACTCAGCATGTCTCAGCTCAACATTCAGGAGGTTCACTTTTAATGCACAGCAAGAACTCCATTAATCCTGTGCAAATACCACATGAGGAGTCTGTTCCTTTTTTGTCTGTCTTAAATAACAAAGTATAGAGGTAGACTTTTCTTCTTTGTAAAACTTCTCAGACTAAAACCTCTGCTCAGTGACTATGAGTACATTCATAAAGAGCTAAATGAGGTAGGTATTGAGCAGAGGGTACAAGATTTCAAGAAAAATGTGAAATTCCCTGAGATGGAAACTTAAGAAGAGCGTAGAGAGAATTCAGAGCAGCTGAGACAGAAAGAGGGAAATATGGCTCATTTAGTACTGATGATCTATTTGTAGAGGCCCTCTTTGTCATACACACCTTGGATATCTGATCTGAATATCTTAACTTTCAATGAAAATGACAAAAATCTATAGGCTTTAACTTCCCTTAATTTCAACATGCTCTCAATTCTCTCTGAGCTCTCCTACTGCTGTGTCTGTGGATTCGTTGTCTCTCCTCCATTTGCTCCATCTAAAACACTGCAAAAGGACAAATGGAGAAAGAGAACGCAAAAATATGCTTTTCTTTTTAGAACTTGAGGATACGATTATTACCAAAGTCAACGACCACAATGACTCCATCGGGCATCACAGCCACACCAGAGGGTCGATCCATCTGTCCAACACCACTCCCCTGTGTGCCAAATTTGCATAAGAAGTTCCCATTGGGCTCAAACACTTGGATTCTGTGGTTGCGGGAGTCAGCCACGATGATGCGGTTCTCCTGGTCAACAGCGACACCCTGGGGCCGCAGAAACTGCCCATTCCCAGTGCCCTCTGAACCCAGGAAACGAGCTGACTGGCAGTCTGGCCGGATGACCAGGAGCCGGTGGTTGTTGAAGTCGGTCACCACCAGGTGGTCTTCGTGGTTAAAGGCTACTCCTCTGGGAGAGTCAAAGTGTTTCCACAGGGCCCCTTCAAATCCATACTTGTTGAGGAAAGAGCCGTCAGGGGTGAAGAGCTGCACACGGTGGTTCCTGGTGTCGGAGACCAGGATCTTCCCCTCAGAGTTGACGGCCACATCCCAAGGATAGTTGAATTGCCCATTCTTGGTACCCTTTTCCCCAAACTTCATCTGGAACTGGCCCTCAAAAGTAAACACCTGTCAGACAAAGCAAATGTCTTAAGGCCCAACATATTTACATGTGGAGTAGAGGGAGAGTAAACATGAGGAAATGTTAGCCCATGAACAGAAGACAATATGTGAGTAAACATGTTTTCAGAAGCCAACATGATTACTAACTTACTCAATTTCACATTTTTCATGCTACTTTCCTCTTGGACATTCTAATGACTTGATCGTGTCTAGATGGGTTTTCATACCTGCACACGATGATTGTCCTTATCAGCCACAATGATTCGTCTCTGACTGTCACATGCAACCCCAGCGGGGCGATCAAACTGACCAGGCCGAGAACCCAGAGAGCCAAACTTATGGTGGAAGGCACCGCAAGGCTTGAATATCTGCAGAGAGTAGGAACAAGAACAGATCGAATTTCAGAAGAGACATTATGTATTGATTTTTGTTTAATGTTACACTGGAGCCCTCACTATGCACCAGTATTGAACATGTTGAGTACCGCTCAAGCTCAAGTGTTTGCTAAGCTGTGAGCTTTCCTGACATTCTACACTTAACACTGAGCCTATTTGTTTTATTAATGTCTGTATTATTTATAGTTTCTTTTTTTTCCATCTTTGAGTCCTAAATAATACTGTTATGTGTGAGTGCAGTGTGGACCCCAGGTGTAGACACAGAAACAACCAGGAGGAGTAGGAGCTAAGGAAAAAAGGTTTATTAAGGACAGACAGGTATGCTGAGTGGTGGAGGGCAAGCTCGCCTCGGCCAGGCCCGAAGTGCAGAGGCGACCGGGACAGACAAGGAAGTTCACCAGGAAGAATAGGAAACCAGGGGGACGAGGCAACAAGGAGGGACGAGGAGACCAGGAGGGACCCAGGAGGGATGAGGAGACCAGGAGGACCGGCAGCAGGAGGGACACAGGAACCAGAGGACGAGCACGAGAGCCGGCAGCAGGAGGGACACAGGAACCAGAGGAAGGGCAGGTGCAGAGCAGCAGGCAGTCAGGTACACAGGGTAGCATAGCAATCAGGTAAACAATGGCGCGGTGTTCAGGTACATATACTGCATAAGGGCGCTGGCAAACAGGTAACAACGAGGAGGGGAAAGTACTCACTCCGTGGGTTCTACTTGAAAAGAGAAGTAATAGCAGCAGGTGCATGACAGGAGTCTCTCAGTAACAGCATAGGAACCACTCGTCAAGACGGGATGAATACAGGTACGAACCAGAAACAACTTCATGCGTGGAATGAACCAGCAAAGAGGTGGCGGAAGACAGGGTGTGTGTGTGGATATATATATATATATATATATGTACACACACACAACAAACCACACAAACGACGGGACCGGGAGACAACCTGCCGCAGGTGAGTGAAATGAAGGCTAATTGCGGTGACAGAACAGTAGGGAGAGACAGGGCGAACGAAAACACCAATACAGGAAGCAGAGTGGCGTGAAACCGTAACACATACTGCATTTAATAAAACAAAAAGACTACTTTTTGCAAGTGTGGGTGTGCATGCACATGAAGACAAAAAGGAGAAAGAAATAAGCTTTATGCACTTCCAACAATGTTTGCCAAGCAGACTCCCTGCTACATAAACATGTCAGTTCAAAAATTAGCACTGATGGGTGAATGACAAATAATATATAATCACTCTAAATGCAATTTAACTGCTGGTTTCAGGAAAGTAACTAAGACTGAAACTAATCAGAAGCTGCTTTATTGGCCAGGTGCATCGGACACACGAGGAATTTGACTCTGGTACATCGGCTCTCAATGCGTATGTACATATCCCCATGCAAGGGGCAAGTAAGCAGTAAACCAGCATAAGGCTGTGTAATATAACAAATATAATAATTAACAACCAACAACTAGTGCATACAATGCAAAATAAGCAGTACAGACAGGCAGTAAACAATGCAGACAGACAAAGGAATGTTCATTGAAATGAGATAAATAGGAATAAAAACAGAGTACTTAAAACTAGAGACCTGTACGAGTCTGTATAATCTGTACGAGGTATATTTACAGGTATTGCACTGAGGGTTATTGTCCAATCATATGGTCACTGGTTAAGTGTTCATCAGAGTGATGGCCAGGGGGAATAAACTGTCCCTGTGCCTGGTTGTCTTGGTGCACAGTGACCTGTAACTCCACTTTAGGTCCTTGGAGATAGTGGAGCCCAGGAACTTGTAGGACTCTACTGCTGGTACAGTGCTGCCAAGTATGGTGAGGGGTAGGGTGGGGGTGGGGTGGGGGCATTTTCTGAAGTCCATTGTCATGAGTGTGTTCAGCTCCAGGTTGTTGCAGCTACACCACAGGACCAGCTGCTCAACCTCCCGTCTGTAGGCTGACTCGTTGCTGTCTCGGATGAGACCAATGACCATTGTATCATCAGCAAACTTTAGGAGCTTGGTGCCTTTCGGATCCTTTGTCTTTTAAAAAGGCCACGCACATCCTTTTCACAGATCACTAGAGGTGGGGGGCTGGAGAGAAGGATGGTGATTATCAGGGGAGCAGCTGCTGGATCTGAGGTGGGGAGGCTGAGGGGGGAGTGTTGTTTGTCAAACCTGCAGTAGAATACATTCAGGTCGTATGCCAGTTGACAGTCCTCCACAGCAATGGGGGATGGTTTCCTATAGCCAGTGATGCTTTTCAGGCTTCTCCACACAGACGAGGGGTTGCTGGCTGAAACCTGAGCTTTCAGATTTTCAGAATAGCTCTTCTTTGCTGCTCCAATCTCCTTTGTCAGTGTGTTCCTGGCCTGGCTGTACACAGTCTTGTCCCCACTTGTGTAAGCCTCCTCTTTGGCACGATGAAGCTGCTTGAGTCTTGCTGTAAACCAGGGCTTGTTGTTGTTGTATATGCAGAAGGACTTTGTGGGTGCACACACACACACACACACACACACACACACACACACACATTCTCACAGGTGACGTGCTGTCTGTATTTGGGCAGTTCATGGGAGAGATTTGTCCATGATTAAAGTCGCTGAGCCAGGTCTCCATGAAGCACAAAGCAGCAGAGCGTGCAAAGTCAGAGTTAGTCCTGTTGACGAGAAGAATTTCATCCATTTTGTTGACCAGGGAGTGGAAATTAGCCGGGTGAATAGATGGGAGTGAGGTCCATGTTCCCCTCTGTTGTAACCGCACCAAGGCACCTGCCTGCTTTCCACGGTGGCGTTTTTTCCAGGTCCCGTATATTGCCGCTGCACCTCCGATGCGAATGTCCATACAGCATTCTTCATTCACAAAAATCGGAGGAAGGTAGTTTGGTGTGAGCTGTCTGATATTTAACAGTTCTTCTCTGGTAAAAGTAATCCGGGATGAGTTGCAAAAGACCAAGAAAACAAAGAAAAACAACACAAGAGAGCGCGAGTGACCACGGTCGCCATCACTGTCGGCGCCGGAAGTTATGGTAGAACAGAGAGAAAAGAAGATGGCGGAGTCACTTTGACAGCTGTAAATGCAGAACATGCTGAACACCAGTTTTCTTTGCATTTGCTTTTCCTAAATTTAATGGCTTAGTTTTCATCTTTTCCTCAAACACCAATAAACCTCTGACACTGGCTAGCTAGAGAAGTGATTTGATAAAAAAAAGCAACCATTAACCATACGTGACTGTAGAGAGACAAGCTGAAAGCTGTGCTGTACCTGTATGCGATTGTTGCTGCGATCAGCCACCACCACATACCCCTCCTTGTCCACGCTGATGCCCCAGGGACGACACAGTTGACCATCTCCCTCCCCCTCGCACCCAAAGGATGACACCTGGGAGCCCAGGGACCCGTAGCTCCGGCCTGACTTCACCATCACCTTGAAGGGGCTGCCCTGGATGTGTTGGTTACACACCAGCACAGACACAAGGTGCTCCCCCTCACATTTGGGTAGGTAGCTGACAGTGTATGAGCCATTGTGGTGATCTGTTACCTCCACTGCAGACAGGTTACCGTCGGTGACGGACATGACCACTGCAGACACTGCATCCCCGCCCGAAAGGCGTGGCTCGCCATCATGGTCATAGCCAATCACAGTAAAGGAGGCAGGCTTGCCACGAAGTGCACTTTTCAGACCTTCACCATGAGCTTTGGTGACCAGGGCAAAGGCTCCACTGCTGATCAGGCCCATAGACTGGATGGCCATGTACAAAGCCTGTGGGACCACAGTGGAATAAATTCAGCTGCTTTATCTTTCTTAAAAGATTTCACTGTTTCTAAAATGAACCAAACAGCACAATTCCACTGGCTTATGACCTGTCTACACAGTTCCAGCACCTACCTGGTCTGGAGGAGTGAACATGAAACGGTCATCCTCCTGCGGCTGCAGCAGGCCCCTCAAAGCCTTGAGTTCATGTATCTGGGTGAGCATTCGCTCCCTGGCCAGCAGTACATCTAGGTGGCGGCCCTCATCCAACATCTGGCTGACGGCAGTGATGGTGCTGTCCAACTTGGTCAGACTCTGGTGCAGCTTCTCCACCTGTAGGTACAGAGACTTGGCCTTTACCTGACGGATCTTCTCCACCTGACAAGAGAGAGAATATCAGTGTTTTAATAGAGGAAGATCAAGCACATGACAAAGGTGCTTTATTGATCCTTGCTTGTAAAGTACAATGTTTTGGCAGATGTAACACAGTTTGGGTATTCTATAAAGTACTCCTGGTTTCTGGTGACACCATAACACAACTTGATATGTCTGGAAAAAAAAAAAAACAACTCTGGTATTTTATGGTTGCTCAGTGTGGTTACCCTCATTTGCAACCACATCTTCCACTTTATTCAATTTTAGAAGTATAACTGATTGTAGAATAACAGACAAAGTGTCCCTTGGAACCTCGGTCGTAAGTTACAACAAGTTAGTCCACTGGATGGCAGCAATGTGCTGACTGTAGCAAGACTGTCAGATTTTCAGGAACAAGAAAGAAGTAAATGTTTTTAAACCAGGCAGGTAATATGTGGGTTAGGCGAAGAGAAGCAAGGTAGAAAAACAGGTAACAGAGAACATTAACTGAGTATAGGATTTACTGGACTTGCCTGAGCTGATGGACACAGATGGGAAATAGTACTTTACAGATTTTTGGTTAGGTTTTTGACAGCATGTACATTTATTTAGCATTTCATGCCACCAGCACGAAAGTGCTTCCATTACTTCAAATCACTCTGATTTCTGACTTCAAGCAGAAATTCAGCCCTACAAAAATAAATTACTGCTACTACAGAAAAAGACACCTTACATATTTGAACTGTACAGGATGATAAATTTCATAAAACCAGGGGACATCAGTTATGCAGATTTTATGCAGAGCTACGAGGGTTGTTAGTTCTTTTTCTTTTTCTTGTATCACACATAACCTGTTGCAAGCTATACTTCCTTTTAGCTTTTTGATAAAGCAGTATAAAAGCAGAAAATAAGGTAATGTGCAACACTGCATGTTAAACAGTGAATCCAAAAAACTGTAGAATCTAAAAGAAGAAAATGAGTTAAAAAAAAAAAAAAAAAAGCTAAAAGTCAGTCAGTCACTTAACCACAACATATTTCACAGTCACAATACAAGGAGCATAAAGCATTAAAGAGGGTGGTAGAACCTGAGAAGCAGAGACTGGGCTCTTCCTGACATCACCAAACAAAGAAGCCTGGCTGCCTCTATGTGTAGGAGTTTTGACACAAAAGAGGATCTTTTGTTAATCTTTGGCCTAAGTGGAACTGCAATTTGCACCTGTGAGACTTGGGTTACTCTTTATAGTAACTGGGAGCAAATGCTCAGGGTAAGTTCCTGATGGACAGATAACTAGTTTTGGTTCTCTGGCTGAAAAACCACTGAAGAGGAGAACAGTAGAACTGGTGTGTAAGTAGCATAATACAGAGGGAAAAACCAGAGAAGAAACCATGGAGAATGTTTAATGACAGACCAGAACTCCTGCCCTACACACTGGCACAAGACACACCCAGACTTCCAGTCATAGCTTTTAAAGTGTCTCATGTTATGCCTGTGAGTCACAGCATAGTTCTTTTGGTGTCAGCTCACAGCCATCAATCTCTCTAGCTCAGTGAAACAATGCTGAGTCACTGCAGAGCACCTTCCTGGATTCAGTGTCTGGTTTCCTTTCAACACAGGTAACCATCACACCGGCTGCAGGAGACGCTAGTGGAGCCATTTCCAGTATCTTCCTGACATTCTCACGATCATTCCTCAAAGTATAGTACACAGAAAACAAAGACCATAAAAAGCACAGCAAAACTCACAACTGAACACATAGTTACACATTTACATTGAGTATTTATACTGGGGAGAAACCAGTCAAACCACAGTGCGTAAATGTACTTGAGTGTTTAGACAGTAAATGCACAGGAACCATATTTCTACTGGCAGCAACACATTTTTCAAATGTAATAATAATATGAATTTAACAGTTTGCAAACTGTCTAAATACATGAAACATTGCAAAACAGTCCGTTTGCAAGAAGGAAAAAGGCACACACACAAACTCAGCGTGTGTGGGTGTGGTATGGTTGCCTGTAATGACTTTATCAGGTCAGGGACAAAGAGCGAGTCCTATGATGGTGGAAAAGGATTAAAGAGGGACACGGCTAAGTGAAAACCTTCTCATTAGCACTTTGACTTGCACAAGCACAAAGGAGCTGTAAGACATGAGGGAGTGAGAGACAGGTCAATTTTTACAATGTGGCTAAGCCTGCTCTGAAGGTAAGGGTAGAAGTAAGGGTTTGGTGAACTGGTGCATGTCTGGGTGAAGTGACGGTTGTGTTGTGTCAGGCCCAAAGCAGCACATTTGAACACATTACTACATTTTACTATCTGGTTTCAGCTGGAGCCCATACAATCTGAATTTTCTGTGTTTGTATTTTTGGTGTTAGAGACTTCACTGGTACAATGGCATGCATTTAGTGCTGCCTTCTGTTTATGACAGGTTAGGGATTTGGAAGCACAGCTTAGCCTGGACCGAGGGGCCTCAGGGTGAGTGCTCTTTCTTTCACCCAAAACCATCTCCTCCTCAGGGTAACCATAAACCCGAGAGTCCCTTGCAGAGGGTTTCTGAAGCGTACCTTCTCACTCCCTCATAACATAATTCATTTAACCTACTGAAAAACAATTTCTGTTGCAGGCTACTCAAAAGTGACATTTGATATGATGTCGGTGGCTGCTTTCTATCCATTTTTTAATGGTTTACAAAAAAGTATGTTTATGGTATTTTCCTCCTCATGTACGGCCTTGCCAGCTCATGTGACTCCTATCAAATAAAGTGAATGTATTTATTTTATCCTTTAATGTGGCTGTCACAACCATTCATGCATTTAACAAACAGTCATTGGAATAATCATAACACATTCATATTAAGGATGCCTCACCAACAGCATTGTACATGGGACCCTTGTCAGCAGGATACAGCAGCTTCAGAAAGTATTCAGGCCCCTTCACTACACTATTATGTTGCAGATTTCATTCTAAATAACAAACTGCTTTTCTGCCCATCTATCTACACTCAGTAATCCATATAACCTCGCCATGATGTATGGCTCCAAACTATTTTATCAGAGTTCTACAGACAGTTCCTTGGACTCCATGGCTTGGGGTTTTTAAAGCAAACAGGATGCACCTGGCCACCATTTGGAGTGCCACAGCAAAGGGTCTGAATACTTCCATAAATAAGATTTTAGTTTAATATTTTTTATAAATTTGCAAAAAAAAAAAAAAAGAAATGGCAATTTTATTTATTTAAAATTAAATCCACAACACAATGAAGTTCGGGTAAAAAAAAGTGATGGTGGTTCAACACTTTCTGAAGCCACTGTGGCTCATCAACACCTGGGTGAAAAGCAAAGAAAGCAAGGTGCCTGATACTTGGTGGCAAATTGTGCCAAACCGACCTGAAAGCTAGTAGCCAGGCCAAAACAACATTAAAACTAACACTGCCCAGGGTACTGCCCACTGACTGAGCGCCGATCAACGTGCAGGAAGCAGCTCACCTTCCACAGTAGTTCACACTCCCTCTCCTCCAACGCTTTCTTGTGTCGAAGAACAAGGGCCTTGACTTCAGACTGTACCACCTTTGCTTTGATCTCCACCTGCTCTGCCATGGCCTGCACTTTCTCCATACTTAGCTGGGGAAACAAAACACAGTGACACAATCATGACCGGTGTGACACAAAATCTAACCAGCTTAACCAACAAAGAGCTGAAGCAAAACTGAAAAAGCTGGAAGTACAACACAGATGTTTTGCTGGCAGTGATAATGGAGAGTGAACAGAGAAATCAGACAGAACTCTCTTTTGCACCACGGCTTGACAATGCACTGAACAGGACACCATTGCCTGGCCTGGGATACAGGATGCAGAGGATCAGGAAACGCTGAAAAGAAAGGACATTGTGTGTGACCACCTCCCTGGCACAAACACTTGCCCAGTTTGTGATCTATTCCTTTCTCACATTTGGTGGCTCCATTACAAGGGGAAAGGCAAAATGGGTCAGGAATAGGAAGTCACTTAACACTGCACTAAGTGATGCAGCATCCTGCTGGGCTGGACCTCTGTTCTGTGTGCATCATAAGATTGGAGCTCCATAGTGAAGTATGGAACTGTATTACTTTTTTTAGCTATGACTAAAACGTGTCAAAAGGTTGGCATGGCACACTTAGTTAGATTTCAAGTCTTAGTTACTTATTCTTTGATCAGATATGTTTAAATCAGGAATCTATTAGGCACATTAGACTAGGTTTTATATAAGCAAATGTCTCCATATAACAGTGAGAAATAGACATAGGTGAAAAATATTTATATTCTCCAAACTAAAATATTGAAAAAATATAGTTTTGGCAGTGTTGTAATACTCGAGTCCAGAACTTGGACTAGAGTCTGATTTGAGTCCAGATTTTCAGGACTCAAGACTCGACTTGGACTTGAGCACTGATGACTGACTCTAGCAGGAACTGCATTTAGACTCTGAAGTTGGAGATGAGGACAAACCTTTTTTTCTTTTTTGTAACAAGCCATAATAATTGGGTCTATAACATATTATAAAATGGTGAGAGCTGTCTTAGTTGTTTAATGTTGTTAGGTATTTTTAGTCAGATAGATATTGGTCAGATACTTGTTGTATTAGGAATGTTTAGAGTAGACAGGATGTCTAGTTAGTCATTCTCATGAATGCTGCAGGATGCTTATGGTCAAGGATAACTAGATAGAAAGTTGATGATTGTCAGCAGACAGGGTGTTTAATATTATTATTATCACGTGTATAACTGTAGCCTTAGCCATAATATGTTCTTATGTTTAATGTCATGACACGTCACTAGAGGTCGTGTTAGAATGTTTTTAGTTACACACCACTTAATCAACAGACACACACACATGCACATTGATTTGCTTCATGTTTTGACTACTGCTATGACCAGCTGCAAAGCTGGTAACAGAGACGTCGCGGTTGACGTTTCTGTGTAGTATGGGGCTAGCCCAACCGAGGGGATATAATGTATAGGCCTGGTGGGTTCAGGGTCTTTCATCTTTCAGCTGCCTGCGTGCAGTTTGGAGGTGGAAGATACCTGAGTGTGTAATGTTAATTTTACCTGTGATCCTTTGAATAAATCAGCACTGTTTTGAAGTTACTTGGACTGCTTCGTCTCTCAGAGTTAGCAATGGTTAAAAGAATCGGAATGCTACAATGTAGACCTTGATGACTCCGACCTTGGTAACAGGGCCTCTACTCGGATTATTCTTTGGTGACTGACTCAAACACAATTGAGACTTGAGGTTTAGTGACTTGACACTGAGTTTTGGTACCAAATCTTAGGCATCATAGTATCAAAAATGTTCAAACAGTGGCCAGGCCTGTAGGGCAACATGTAAAGATGTTACTTTTGGTGTTGTATTAACAGTTAAGACTGTGTGTGATGAAAAGGGATCTCACATAGGCTTGAGAGAAGGTGTACAATGAAAGGACACAAAGCCTCTTCATTACCTTGATAAATACCGCTGCACTAAAAAGCAACGGCATGGCATAAACTTGAAAAATTCCACCTTCAAGGCCTTCAGCATTTACAACCCACAATTTGGGGACATTTTTCTCTTTGTCTCCCTGCCTTCCCCCCTGGTGGTTTTATCTGGCTTTTTCTCTGGCATTTTCTGGGAGGTCACAGGGTAAACCGGACCTCACAGGGACGAAGGGGAGGTGGGATAAAGCTTCCTTTGTGATAATGGCTGCAGGGATCAAAGGTCACCTAAACCTTTACAGGTCGTGATCTGCAACCCCTGTCTTAAGACACATACTTGCCCACCCCCACAGCATGTCTGCAAGAACAAAGCCTGGCAAAAGGGCCCTTTTCTCCTTGGCCCAGCCATTTGAGGTGGGCAGCTAAAGGGTCAATTAAATCAGGCATCAAGAGGAGCAACAGCAGGGAGTGAATACTGGAGGAAATGGGGGGAGAACTGGTGTCAACAGAGAGGGAGAAAAGGAGACATTTAAAAGCAACCAGCTTTTTGCAATTGTTTCTGCATAATCTTGAACAATACTAATAACCATTCAATTAATTCATTTTTCTTCATTGTTCCATTTCTTTGTCCTGTTTTTTTTTTCCTCTCCCATTCACTTGCTCTTTTTCTTACTTCTCACACTCCATTTTTTTGTCCTCTGCTTATTCGTGTGATCTCAATTCACTTAACTACATCCACTTTTTCCTTATGTAAATCTTTTGCTTGTGTCTTAGTCAAGGAAACATGTATTTAGAGAAATGAGACGTCAGTGACAGCCAATTCTGAAAACACTGGATTTAGCTGTCAGTTAGAGCTTATATAAGGAAATTCAGTCTTCCATAACGATTCCACGCTGCGCCTTAAGCACTAGCCTACCAGGGACGGCCTGATTTCCAGGTTAAGAATGAATGATCAAATAAGGGAACTGGGATGTACTGCATAAAATATGGACACCATGCCAGCTTACAAAAATGAAACCAGCGCTACATGAACGCCCCTGGCGGCTGATTGCAGTATAAGTCATAAATCCTGCCTCCTCCATGTTAGTGGATGGGACATGAGTCAAACTATAAACTCAAAGTTCAAATCTGATAAATTCCTCCCAGAGGTCACTTCTGTGGTTTTTGGTAGATATTATTGCGCCGATGTGTGTACAAGTGGTTATTTTTCTCGCAGGTTTCTTAGTTATTGGATGAAATAAAGAGAGGTGTATTTCATTTCATTTGACAGCTTTGATTGGCGGTTCAATGCTGTCGCTACGACGCAAAATATGGCTGCAAAAACACCAAGATGGCAACCACTGTATTCTCTATATTTTAGCTTCACTTTTGCATAGTGGAGGGAAGTGGTGATGCCATGTTTAATGTATATATGTCAATGGGATGTACCCACAACCTCCATTTTCTCTCATTCTGTCTTTACCGCAACACTCCCAGAAGAGTAGAGCGTGGAACACAAAGAGGATCAAAATGACCAATCAAACCGCAGATAGAAAGCGCTCTGGCCAAGCAAGAGGTCAGAAGTCAGAGGAGATAATGGATGTGGAGTGGGCGGAAATATCCTACCTCAGGGGACATGAGCGCGTGTGTGTGTGTGTGTGTGTGTGCGCGCGTTTACATATTATCTGGCGTGAGCATTCACTCCCATGTTGACCTGGAGCCAAAAACAGACAAACACACACCAAAACACTATAAGGGATTTCCAGATGGCAGGAGGTGTTTCTTGCATCTCAGCTGTATATAACCTGGTGCTGTACATTTAATAAACTATGGGGAATGATGTGTATATGTTGAAATGATTGCTATTGATTAAGAAGATCAAAGGTACACTGTGGGACCTGGTTTCCTAAACAGCATCTGGAATCTGGCATTTAAACTGAGCAGATCTGTGTTGTAATATCTTGGAATTTGAAGAACACGAAGAGTGACAGAAGTAACCATCCATTAGAGCACAAAGTGTTGCTCAGGCAAACTAAGGTCAAGCTGAGAAAAGGATAGGTGAGGCTCTGCTGAAGAGACCGTACATACCAGCATGTCACATGACCTCAGTGGAAAAGCTAGTGTTTCATTTTTCAGCCAAGTCTTTACCAAGGTCATAGCACTGCCCCACCTTCCACGCAAAGCAGACAACCTTTGCGTGTGCGCCATATCCGTTTATCCAAGGTTGCAACTGAAGAATAGTTTATAATAATAATTTAATAATTTATTTTGTATTGTTTGTGCTATGAAATGTTAGATTACCACAGTTTGAGTCTTCAAACTGTATGATTAAAAATGAAGTCTGAACAAACTTAATGCAGTGTTTGTTTGAATTCATTTTAATGCACCCAACATGACCGGATCTAAATTACGTCAAGCTCATTTTTTGTTCATTTACAGGGTCTCCCGGCCTCGCTGAAGTGACCCGGCTAACGTAATTGTGAAGAATAAAAAATAAAAAACTGTAAAAAGTCCATTTTAGCTCACATTTATCCACTGTGTAAAATCCAAACTGCTTCCTCACAGTACTTCTCATATTTTCTGTGTCATGATTATTTATTCACCACAGCTCACTAGTTTAGTCCAGTTTGCTTTAGCAAAAAGAACAGGCCTAACCATAGCTTAATGTGGAAAGGCAACAGCATACAATGGGTCAGATACACTGTGCATTTCATAAACAACTCCCACTGCTGTTTTTATATGCTGTGAATTTTTAAAACTGAGATTATTACCAATTCATGTTTCATTTAAATATTTTCTGTGGAATCAAAAGTGGCACTCCTAACAGTGATGCAATAGTGCGAAAGGCAGGAAATCCTCTCATTTAAGAAGCTGGAATTTTGGGGGGGGGGCGCTAGGAAGCTGCCCATTCAATAACTACATAAATGAAGAGAGGCAGTGTGTGTTTCTGTGCTACTGAGATTAAGAGGCCAGGGGTGTGAATGAATGAATGAGTGAATGGGGGAGGGCAAAGTGTTACGCATTTTTAAAAGTGGAGGGGTTTTCCTTTCTCTAAAATCCTTCAAATACCTCATCCACCCTCCCCCATCCTGCTCTTCACTCCTCCTCCCCTTTGACCTTCAGCCCTGCCCCCGCCCTATACAACCAGCCCCCTCTGAGGGCCAGCTGGACACCTCTAACCCCAGGCTACCCAGCAGCCCAGGACTGGTCACTCTCAAACATATTCAAGCTGATTATCTCTATTAGCTGCGCTCTGTGTGCTGAAGAACAACAGAGAGACGCAGCTGCTCTACTCTGCTTCTCCTCAGCCTCTCTAGGAGATGGATGAGTGTGGATTTGTGTGGTGTTTTTTGTCAAACACTGGAAAATGTTGCATGAGAGCTGTTCACTTTGTTTACAAAAGACTGAAATCAGTTTAACCTGACTGTTGAGTGATGCAAAACATTTTTCTTCTGATGCGGTTATAAAAACCTCTGGCCCTGTTCTCTTAAATTGATTATATTCTGAGTTCAAGTATTGTACAATGCCAACAATAATGAAATTACAATTGTGTCATTTTGCTTGAAATAATCAATGATGTCAACTTTAATATTTTAACCGATGCATCTTTTTTTATATGAGCTGAGAAAAACTTTGAAAAATCAACTGGACTAGGTTTTTAGGTCGAAGGCTTTTCACTGGATGACTGAGAATCTGCACGGACATTTTATATGAGCTTTCTGATTTCTAAAATACTGTGATAATTTTTTAAAACTAATGCTCTACTTTCCTATCATTACGTAGCTGTTGCCAACTGCCAGTAAAATCCAGAAAAGAAGAATATCAATATGTAAATGCTGCATGCTTACATCAGTTGTTTTTGGTTTCAGTCATTGGTCGACTCCAGCCAATGCAGTTTTAGAAATTCACGGCGGCTGCAGCAGATTCTGGCTTGTTTGCAAAAGAGGTTCAGTTTAAAAGTTTCCAAAGACCAAAAGCTTCAAAATTAATGGGAGTACTTCAAATTATCAGAAAACAAAACAGTGGTTTGTTCACTGTGCAAAGTGTCATTAGCAGCACTAACGCTATGCACTTGCGCCTGGAGAGAACAAACTGCCGCTATTCTGGATGATGAATCGGCAAAAAGGCAAAACAAGCATGCTGTCTATTCATGTTTATTAAATTACAATTGGTAGGACAAGCTTTTTAATATCTTTTGTCCTTGTATCTGCTAAACTCATGATTTAAACCATAAAGTTGTCTGCCCTTTACCTTAGAATTTCCAGTTAATAATACAGCAAGAAAATATCTGGACACTTCAGCAACATTAGAGATGCACAGAGTCTCTGGCGGGGCATCCAAACCCTCAGAGGCTATAAACCCCCACCTCAGAACTGTGATAGTGACATCTCTCTGCTGAACAGCCTCAATGACTTCCTTGGCCACATTGAAACACAGAACACCACACCGGCACAGAAGACCACTCCTCCCCCAGGCGAGCAGGCTGTGTGTCTGTCCGCAGCCAGTGTGAAAAAGACCCTCTCTAGGATTAAGCCACGCAAGGCAGCTGGACCAGATAACATACTGTACCTGGTCATATTTTAAAGGACTGTGCCATGGAGCTCATCTTGCCGTGGACATCTTTAACATCTCCCTGAGCCAAGCGGTTGTTCCCACGTGTTTCAAGGCCGCCACAATAATTCCAATTGCAAAGAAGCCCCACCCAACTAGTTACAGTGACTATCGGCCTGTAGCACTGATTCCAAATATTATGAAGTGTTTCAAGCGGCTGGTCATGCAGAACGTCAAGTCCATCCTTCCTCCCTCCCATGACCCATTTCAGTTTGCATACACATCCAACAGGTCCACAGAGCAGGCCATTACTGCTGTTCTCCATCCAGCCTTCACCCACCTAAATTCAAAGAACTCTTACGTGCGAATGCTGTTCCTAGACTTCAGTTCAGCATTGAACACAATCATTCCCCAGCAGCTTACACAAAAACTTGAACACTTGGGACTCAAAACCTCTTTCTGCAACTGGGTGCTGGACTTTCTAACAGGGAGGCCACAAAATGTGC